GTGTGTGTGTGTGTGAATTCATTATATTAAATTTGAGTATAGCCTCATTACGTCTCATGTTTAGAAACAAACAAGTGTGTATCAAAAGTCTGATATATCTGTGCATGGAGCTGGCATAAAAATACTCACCAGATCACCACTTCCACTGCTGAAAGTAGTCCCCAAAGAATGCACTATGTCCTCCTGTTTGTCCCAATATTATTGTATTGTAAAATGAATAGTTTGGTATTTTGGAAAAAATGCTAATCCGCCTTCTCTTTGAGAGTCAGATGTTCAATATCACTCTGTCCGTTCAGTAAATGTGAGGCCACAGCCAGCAACTGGTTAGCTTAGCTTTGCATAAAGACTGAAAATGGGGGGAACAAGCTCGCCTGTGCTCCGTCCGAATTTAGTAAAGTCAATTTTTTCCTCAAGTTAAATGTTGGTGGTCTGTCGGGAGAGGACACCATGTTTGACCTCTGACCCCAAACAGGAAGGAGGCAACAACAAACTGCAAACAAGCAAATTCTCACTCTAAATGATCTCATCCGTCTTCCTGAAACACACGTCGGGATCCTGACTCTGACTCTTGTGCAGGAACTGGTGTGCGTTCGTGCAGAGGCGTGTGCTTACCATGGCGGTGGCGTGTGGAACAGAGAAGTACACCATCAAGTCTCAGAGCCCATGTCCGAGTGGGACGCCCGACTGTCAGCTGGTCATGTGAGTACACAACAACAACAACGAGTGTCAGTGGGGAATGAGGAAGTACTACAGGAAAAGTCCTGAAGGGGATCACTAGAGTCGTCCTATTATAGTCATTTATGAGTACAGGCATAGTAGTATCCCGGTTATTAAAATATTTTGAGAGTATTTTGGTTTGTATTCAGATCATGAGAATCCAAGACATAAAATAATATATAGGAATAAAGTAGAATATATGAAATAAAATATGTTGAATTTACACATAATTACTCTACTTTTATTTTGAAATATCTTCATTGGAGGTGTATCATCCTGTAGGGGCGGGGTCAGGCTTGTGTCCAGTTCTCATTGGTTAATGGCTGAACATTCAGCCATCTTGTGAGGTATAAAGAGGTTGTGAGTTGTCTGCTTCTCTAACTCACCTAAAATGCTGTTGAATATGGTGTATAAAGTCTGGACGCGTCCTACAGGTCAGTCAGTGCTGTTAGACTATTCTTCATGTTTTGCTTAGTGAAATAAAAATGTTAAATCACAACATGAGCAGTTTATCACTGTTATCAAATATGCTAAATGTACAAAACAACAGGATACAGCCTTGCTCCTGTTCCTCAGTGGTCTATAACACGTCCCTCCTTTCATTAGAATTCTTATTATTCTCAGTAATTCCTGTGTTTTGAGAATAGATACAATCCAGTGGACTGAGGAATTAGACTTTAAGCCTTTTCATGTCGAGGATCAAGTCCTCATTTAGAAATGAGGACTTAACAGATATTCTTCTCAGTTAAAGCAGGAATGTGTTCAGATCTATTTCCATTACAAACCACCAGTTTCTAGATTCTTAAACCTATTTTTCTCAGTCAGATCTCATTTATGAATAACCAAAACTAATTTCAAGGTGATTGTACTTTGAGCATTTTCATTTCCGTTGTATGCTACTTTCTACTTCTAGTCCACTACATCTCAGATATACATATATTTTTTTACTTGTTGAGTACTTTTACTGTGTGGGATTAGTACTTTTATTTCAGTAAATGATTTGAATACTTCGTCCACCGCTGATTATTTTTAATGTGGGGAAGAATAAATAAAGCTAATGTACAGGAGAAGGTATCAATGTCTATATACAGTGTGTGCATGCATTAAAACTAACTGGAACAGTTAATGAAACAAACTAAGGGTCTGGAACATTTCCTGAAACCTGATCCACAGTCACAACATCTCATTTAATAACCTCTTTAACTGTAAATTAGATTTTCCACATTTTCTTGTGTCCACTTCAGCTGAAGGATCAGATGGACATGACGAGAAGTTTATACAAACTATTTGCCCTTAGGGAACCCTTTTATCCTCTAACCCCATTAGATGATTGATCCACACTGTCAAACAGATTCCAGTTGGATTCCAGTTCCTGTAAAGTTTCTGGGGTTTTACTTTCTTACCCTACAGCAGCAGAACTCTGATCTGAGATCAGATCTCCGTCCTCTTGTTCCAGCGGTTTTCTGTCTCTTCAATGTTTTGGATCTTTTAAATTTAATTTCAGGTGTTTTTCAGTTTCAAATGTGAGTTTTGGCTTCAACATATTTGTCTGTGTGTGTGTGTGTGTGTGTGTGCGTGTGTGTGTGTGTTTGTGTGTGTGTTTGTGTAAATGTGCAGGTACAAGCTGTCCACCCGGCTAATCTACAGTCAGAGGCAGCAGATCTCCACCGCTCTGCTGTGGCGCTGCTGTCCGGGACACGGAGGACACAACTGTGAGGATGCAGGTGGGTCAGCAGGAACATCGCTTTGTCGTTACCAGCGAAGGAAGAAGTTCTCAGATGTTACTTCAGTAAAAGTAGTAATACCACAGTGTAGGAATACTATGTTATTGGTAAATGTCACACAATAAATACAGATACTTGTCTGGGAAAAGATCTAAAGACTGGTTTCTGAATAGAAACTTGACCTCTCGTTCTCCCTGTTCTAATTTGCTCTACAGGAGTCTATTTTTACAAAACAGCTAAACTTTGGTATCGCTCAGGAACTTAATTCAGTCCAGATTTTGAGTGTGTGTGTGTGTGTGTGTGTGTGTGTGTGTGTGTGTGTGTGTGTGTGTGTGTGTGTGTGTGTGTGTGTGTTTGT